GGAGGCGGGGGTGGGGGCCGTGGACACGGATGGCGGGCGGTGGGGGGAGCTGTTTGGGGCCGGCTACGACAAGGGGGCGAGGGAGGCGAAGCGGCGGCGGGTTTAATGCTCGTAGGTCGGCCGCGTTCTTTTCATTGATGCAGGGTAGTTTGTCGGGCGATGGGGCAGATGCTTCCTGGGGCTACAATGCCCTTCAAGCCAGCCTCACAGGCCTGTCTGGCCCTTTTTCTTGATCTCCTGTAAGCTGGAGCCTGGTCTGCAAGGAGAGATGTTTGAATTCCACAATTGGGTCCACCCCCTCCCCTCACCTTGAAATGCAGCCACACCACCCGGCGGTGCCTGCCTTGTTGACTCAGCAGGCACGCCTCGTCGCCGTTCTATGCAGGCTCCATGCTTCCGTGAGCCCACTGGGTAGGCGGACCGGTGTAACATTTTGATTATCCGATCATTTTGCACGCTGGCGGCAGTGCAAGGGTACAGTCAAGCAAACTCATGGGCAGGGGCCAGACAGAGGGTCGGAGGGCGGCGATGCAGGTGGCGGCGGTGCTCTGCACAGTGGTACTCTCTGCACAGTAGTACTCTCTGCCCAGCACCGATGTGTGGCGCAGAGTATGTGCCACAAGCAGAGGTGGGGTGGGGCTGAGGAGAGGCATCACTGGGGAGCGCACGTCCTGCAGTCATCACACGAGAGGCAGTTACACGATACACCGCAAGCACACATCAAGTGCCTGATGGATGATGATGGTTTCACACCTGACTCTCCAGCAGGTCAGGTTGACCAGATATTCCGTTTATGTTGCATCGTGGTCAGACAAATGCGCCCTTTGGGTTTGATGAATTCCGCCTCACCGACTGCTTGCTTGCAAGGCTTTAGTGCAGCTGCGTGCCCCGGGGGCGCACTGATGCATATCAAGGTGCCAGAGGCATCAGCTTGTGGCGGGTGTCAACAAGTGCAGCGCGCAATACCGGATTGCTCTGGCCCCTGCACAACATGTTTGCAGATCGCGGGTGGGGTGGGAGGAGAGGGTGACAAAGCTGCGGTGCCTTGCATGCTTGGCGGCAATGGCAGCAGCTCTAAGAACGACGACGATGGCTTGATTGACAAAATTGGGTGCGCATAATGTTCATCTCCCCTTCAACTTGGCATTTGAAGGTCAAGAGGCAGGGTGCAGCTTCATTTGCACACAAACTGGAACGCACAACACAGCAAGGTCATTCGCGTGCCCTCGTACAGTCATCAGCAGAGTTCAGATAGGCATACATTACCTTCACAAACGCTGCAGTCAGATATACCGTATAACACCTTCCTCCTGTATGTCACATCAAAGCATGGCTCTGCGACCGCAACACCGGGCCTCCGGCCCCGGGTCTCGCGATGGGATCTCAAACAGAAAATCTTTTGGATCACATATCACAGCGGGCAACTCACAAGCTGCTCGATATCAGTTTTCTCGCAAGTTTGACCCGGCCCTGTGCGCATCCTGGACGTCTTCTGGCCCATCATCGGACCAGATAGAAACCATAAAAACGCGCTTCGAGGCTATGCAGGCTATGGCCGAGCGCTGCAGCGACGTCGCGGGCGCAGAGGACGTCTGCATGCAGCTGGGGCGACTGCAGCAGGTGTGGCGTGCCGCAGCGCAGCGCTTGGGGCGCCCGATCGCACGCATCTGTGACGCTGCGAAATTGGGGCGTGCGTGTAGCATCACATCCCCTCACCTGCCGCACCCCAACCACGTCGCAGGCCGCGCACTACTGCGCCGTTGCCACCAACAGCACAGAGGCGCGCCAAGTGGCAGATCACATCGCCGCAGCCCGCACCCGCCTGTACAACCTCTTCCCCGCCGACGCCGATGCCAACTTCGCCGCCCCGCCACCGCCGCCGTCGCGCCCCGCCGCCGGCCCCGCCGGCCCGCGCCCCGAGGTCGCCGCGCTGCGCGAGCGCTGGGCGCCGCACAGGCCCGGCTGCGACCACTTCATGCAGGGCGCCGACCCCGCCGCATGGAACGACGTCATGGCCATCCTCGCCGCCGCCGACAGGGACTACCAGGCGACCGGCGACCCCGCCGCCCTCGCCCTCCTCAACGAGATCAGTGCTAAGGCCTTTGACGATGACGGCTACGGCCAGCTCGGCCTCCGCAAGAGCGCCCTGCCGCGCGTGCCCCCGCGCTCGATCATCGCGCGCTGCACGTCGGTCGAATACAGGGCCGCGGTCGCGCGCTGCCAGGAGCAGACTGTGCAGGTGGTCGTGGCAGAGGGGCGG